TTTTTTTTTTTTTTTTTTTTTTTTTTTTGCGAACTATTTCACGTAAATACTTGTATGTAGCGACCTGCCTAATCGTTGATCGGATAGAACTGACATACATACGTTTTTTTAACAAAAATATATATTTATGTTATGAAATGTGTCACATTTTATTTTCGTTGTTTTTCGACATTAATTCAATTTGAAAAAATATGCATCGGTCGAAAAATGGCTGATTGACAGTAATTCTGCCTAATCACGGGCTTATTGTTAGTTGAAATAGTTTTCATGTCTTGCAAATTTTCAATTATTAACTTGATCTGAAATCTAAAAAAACCCCCAATTGAGCCTACTGGCAATAATTCTTCTGCAAAAACCCTTGTGGGCAGAAGATATAAGTTAGTTGGAGATATTATATAGCTCCAAAATGATATTAATCTCAACCAAACAAATTATTCTGACACAAAAACAATTTCAAAATATTATAGACAATGATATAACCTGTCACAATTTTTTTTAAAAAAAAAATGATTAGAAAAATGTATGACCCGATCATCCTAAATATGCATGCATTATGAAAAGGAAAAACTACACTAAACCCACCTAACTATACGTTTTTTTGTTTTTTTGTACTTTATCCATTCAACTTTTTTTCGTGACATTTTGCTCATATAACATTCTAAATAATTGCACTTAACCAATTTCAGGTCATCGTCCAACCATTTCTAAAGGCAAAGTGTAAATAAAAAAAGTAGAGTAGATAAAGCGCAAAAAAACGGATAGGTGGACGGATAAAGTGTAAATTTTTCAATGACAATTAACTAAAAATCAAATCTGCCCTTAGAAATTCCCGACGGTGACCGAAAATTGATGAAGTGCAATTTTTTTGTAAAGTTATATAGACATAGTGTCACGAACAAAAGTTGAGTGAGGAAAGTGCAAAAAAACCTTGTAGTTATGTGGATTGAGTATAGTTTTCCCTTATAAAAAATTCATGCGCACATGCAAGAAAATAGTCAAATACATAAGCTCGGAGCACCATTATTTTTCTGTACCAACCGAAAAACCTCGCACAAAATCCAAATGAAAACGATAGATATACATCATAAGGAGAGATTTGTTTATGACATAGATATGTTGTTGATAGGCTGTCAAAAAAACTCTCATAAAAAAAAAAAAAAAAATATGTATATATATATATATTATTATTAATAATAATAATAATAATAATAATAATAATAATAATAATAATAATAATAATAATAATAATAAGAAGAAGAAAACTGGGACCTTCCCCAACTGTATAACACAAACTAGTTATAATATTCCCACATTCATTGTCTCGGACAAGCCATTCATCATTTTCAATCACCCCCCACTTTTAGGCACATGCATGAAAGACCTGCACTACTTTTGAACTATTCAAAAGGTCGATTCAATCCTACAAGTATGTGCAGTGCACACGGCAAGTTATTCTGACGAGTGACAAATAGTTGTATCGTATTCAAAGTTACCTGCCAAACATTGACGACATTCGAGCAAACACTACTGCACGATGAATAATAAACCACAACTCCAAGAAGATTAAACACCATGGACAAAAGATAATAGTTGTTGCAACCGGAAAAGGAACCATCACTTAATTACAACAAACATGACTGCATAAAACCAAAAACGATTAACTCGAGCGCCCTTTAATCTGAGTATACTATAGCACTTGGAACAAAAAGGGTAAATAGTGAGAAATAATATTGTACCTCTGCCAGCTTTGACATGTCTTACCAATACTTAGATCAAATATATGTCAATCGTTTCATTTTCCCTGTAAACAAATACATCACACGACCTGCGTGACTTTTAAGCAGACAACAGAGTGCAACAATCGCAGCAAATCCTCGTCTAACAAGTACGTACAAGGTCAAGAAAGCTGATGTCTCTGCACTCTTGTTTGGATATGGAAAAACCTGTGGTGAAAGCATTTATGTACTTGAATGGATAGTACAACATAAGCTCTAAATGACATATTACTAGAACCAAAAAAATCTTTTAAGGAAAAAAAAAACGTCAGAATTAAATAAAATAAAAACCAAGGGATGGTAAAAGGCAGGTTCCCCTGGGATGGTTGAAAGAGGAAAGTCTAAACATATTATTGGAAACAAACCACAAGCCAAACTCAGGAGGTCTATAACGATTCACATGCAAACTTAACCAAGCACTAAGAGTACGCAAGAATAAAGTCAAGTAGTTTGACATATTTTGTGGGAAAATCACAATTGTTGAAGGAAGCAATTTGGAGTAATGCTTGTATTCATTTAGAGGGAATGAAATGAAACGAAGATAGAAGCAGTGGAAATTTCATGCAGCTATACGAGGAAAGACCGAAAAAAGGAGGATAGGGAGAAAACATAGCAACACACCGACAAGCTTCAAAAGAATACTACCTATGCCATTTGTATCTTCAAAATGCAGGATTGCACGCCTTGTTCAACTGTGGTCTTCTCTCCTTTTCTTTTTTTTCTTATTCTGTTCATCGTTTTTTATTGAAGATGTTTTCTCCTTCACAGTGAATCTCTCATTCTCAGGCTTATCATCTTCTTGCTCTCCACTTTTCCTCTTTTTAGTGGTACTGCAGCATTATTTCCAATTTCATGTAACGGTTGAATTCAATATATTGTATAAAAATGAAAATGCAACAGCATCCACATGAACTTTATATGATAAGTTAAGGTTCAGTGACAACCTATCAGCTTGAGACCATTTATCCATATTTTTATCCAACCATCGAGCACATCCAGTATTGTCAGCAGCCAAGGATCCTGATATATGAAGTATCTCTTCATCAAAGCTGCAACATGAAACACCAAATCCGAAAGTACAATGAGTGGTTTAAGAATCTCTTTTTGTCGTTTTCATTTGAGAATGAAATACCACCTAAGGCTGAAGAACACATTGCAACTGATAGAACGTTACATTTTCTTCCAGTGAAACACATGGAAATGCACTGACTATGAATGACTTTTTTTCCAACTCAACTGAATCAAGATTTAGTCTACTTCATCAATTCATAGCCAATGCACGAGAAAGGGTTATTGAGAAATAAATTGGCAATGAATTCTTATGAGCAGCTCTACTCCTTCGTCTACTTGGACAAGATGGAACATTCAGTCAAGCTTCCAACTAAATCATAGTAAATACCTCAGGAATTATAATCCAATGGTAGTTTTAAAAATGTGGAAATTTGACCTGTCAACATTAATTGAGCATTGCTAGGTTAAATACGACACAACTTTTATTTGTGTATTTATTATTTTATTTTATTTTTTAAATTGCAAGAACAGAATGCGGAAGCATATTCAAGCCCCACAGTTAAATCAAACCATCAAACATGTTAATGAAAATACAACTCTGACATCTCGACAAATTAGTACATGTGTGGCTCGTACGTACCCTAAAAGAAAGAAAATTAAGGGCTTTCTTTCGGCCAAAGCAATTTCAATGTATTGAGATACTTAAATATATTGAATGCCAGACCACCACAATCTTGGTTCAACCTAAACTAGCTTACAATCAAGTCCCTTAAAAATAATAAATAAAGCATAGCAAACCAACCCTATAAATCACGGTATCAAGTATCAACTATCAACATACCCTTAAAAAAAAGCATGTTCAAAACTCTAGTGCATGTGCAGAAACTGGTACTCCATAGCATCATACTCAATCATGAATTAGTTCATTAACCAAAATTTGACTGGTAATTATCTATCCTGGTTACATTGTGCCGGTTACATAAACTCGCAACCTATGAAACACTCTATGCACTAAACTAAACAGAATATGACTAAAAATCATATTTTAGAGGAAAAATAATGATTTCACCTCTTCACAACGAATCGTAGTGTGGTCCCCACTTTTATCTTATGTTTCTTACTCAATCGGCTAACATATACTTCCTCTCCACCTCTCTGCAACAGAAGTTAGAACACAAATACATATCAGAACTTCTCGAAACACAATGGTCAATGGGCCATTACTTTATCATCTCTAAGCACTTACAACTTTATGCTTGAGATCATCACGAATATCTTCACACGCAATACATGCGGATGAAAACCCCAGAACCACAGCATGAACCGACTGTGGCGTAATTTTAACAACCTCTCCCTCTGACAAACAGATGGACAAGAAAAACAGAATCGAAAAGTCAATTTAAACCCTCAACACAACATCGCAGAAACTACATATACTTGGGAATATTCTCCCAAAAAATTCAAAATTACCTAAAACCATTTCGGGCTTCGGATGAAAGAGCAACAACCTAGTTTTCAATCTCACGCCAAAGTATGGTTGAATCCCAGGCAGAATTTTCGCCACCGTACTGCTAGTTCTCGGGTCATATGCTAACACAACTCCTTCAAAAGTCTCATTGTAACTACAAGTTCAAGAAACGAAAAATTCTTACAGGCATTTACAAAAACTCAAACCCAGGTGCAAAAAGTATAGGCTATGAAAGGATAAAGAAGATTTAAAAGAAAATGCAGCACAATATCAACACATTCTGCATTAAAACTTACGCGAAGAGCAAAGAGCTAAGCTCGCGGAGTATGGCTTCTTTCACGCAATTCGCCTTTGAAGGATGTAAATACACAACTAAGTTCGCTTCAGCTTCTCTCAGTCCCTCCATTGATTTTCGAATGCAAGGGTTTTAGAAGTTCGTCTGCTTTGTGATTGTGTACAATTCCCGCTGGTTAGGGTTTTAGAATTTCAGGGGAAATTGAAAGAGGAGAACCTGAGAAGTGAGAGCTGAGAACCCTAATTCTCATGGGTACAGTTATGTCAAAACGGGCCGGTGGGTGGGGCGGGCTGGGGTCCTAGCCCACTTAAGAAAATGGGAAGAGAAAATTACATAGTTTACTAAACATTTACAACATTATTGTACATTTACAACCCTTATATAATTATTAGCAAAGTAACTAAAACTTATTATATTATTTACATATATACTAGAAGTTGGTTAGAATAGGTAACTACCCTAATTATATGGTCTCTCTCCTTCTTATCCCTCTCTCTCTCTTCTTCATAACTCACGTTCTATCTCTCTCTCTCTTCTCCTCATCAATCTCTCTCTCTCCTCCTCAACTCTCCCTCTATAACTCGCTGCCGCAACAAATATAGCGTGCTGATGGCGCACTCCGCGGCTTCGCCAAGTTCTTCGTCACCGCTGGCTTCTCGAGTGTGTTGATGGTGGACGAGCAACAATTCCGACGGTTGGGGAGATTTTCGATGGTGGACTCCATCGTCTTCCCCTCATCGCACAATTCTCGGTCGCGAAGAACAAGGTTCAGAGTGTCGGGCTTTATCCGAGTGGCGATGAAGATGAACTCCGCCCTGGTAATACCCCTGATCTATGCGGCGGTTGCTACCGATGATGCTCTGCGAGGATATGACCATTGATGGCGTGCTTACAGGGACGATGAATAAAAGGGAGAGATTTTTTTTTTTTTTTTGCAGTATATGTTGCGTATATAGACGGTATATGTTCAATATATATTTTCATTGGCGTGTTTCTCATTTGGCCCATATTTAATTTTTTTATTATATATTGACTACAAACACAATATATACAATTGTATATATTTTGTATATAATGACAAGATTGATTTATCTCGTGTTTTTGTATTCATGTCCTCCGTATATAATGAGTATATTTTCTGTATATAAGTCTAATATTGTATGTTGCATGTATTAAACCAAAAAATATAATATAAATATACCGAAAATACACGAGATGTAAATAACACAAAAAAAAAAGGATTACGAAAAGATAAAATTACCTGGTTTATTTTATATATTTTCTGGACTTATATATTTTCTGTATATCTTATGTATATATTATGTATATATTTGCGTGAATGTAATTCTGATTACTTGATGTTTTATCATAATTTATTTATTCTCTTATTGGTTTATAAACATATAATAAACTAGAAAATTTTAGGTAAAACAAATTATTTAAAAATTTACATGAAGAGATAATTAAAATTTAAAGGAATGAAATAATAAAGATAGAAGAGATGAGAGAGGAGAAAAAATAACGGAGAAGGAAAACGGAATGAATTGGAGAGTGTAAATAAGAAGAATTTTTAGGAGTAGATAAATGAGAGAGGAGAGAGAATGTCTTTAATATGTAATATTTATTTAAATATTTATTTAGATTAGGTAGATGTGCAAATAAATTTTTTGTGTGGTATCTTTACAATTATTTAGCAATCAGTTAAGTACATATGTAAATTCCCCGGGAATGGTCGTTTAGCTTTAGGATTGCAGGCCATGTAAGATGGAGGCCCAATACTAGCCATTAATTTGGCTAATCTGACAAAAAATAATAATGAGAAATTTGCACGTTCTACTTAATTAATCTATCTTTATTACATAATTATATCCCTTATATAAGTATTTAAAAATTAATTAAATTTATTAATTTATTTGTATATATGCCTAAAAATATGTTTGAAGAATTAATGGGACTCTAATTACCAAAAAGTTGATTTCCTATTTATATAATAACTTTCCACTCATTAACTATGTCTCTCTCCTTCTCCTCCCTTCTCTCTCTATCTTTTTTCTTCACTCTCCAAATCTACGCCGCCGCTTCATGTTAGCGTCGCCCTGCCATTGCGTTTTCCTCCATTAAAAACCATAGTCTCCAAATAAATAAAACAAAAAAAAAGTAAAAAATAAGACAAAATTTGTCTCAATTTTTTTTTTTCATCTGTTAATGAATTACATGGATACAAAGGGTCTTCCATGTGGTGATCAATCTGTGTGTAAGAAATTAGGGAAAATTAAGGAAAAAAGAGAGGTTATGAGGCGTGAGGTGGAAGAATTGTCGGGGGCTTCAACGTCGACCTATACTCCACTGAGTCCTACTCCCTCGCCGAGATCGTCTACCGAGCCATCCCCGCGGTCGTCATCTCCAGGTAGGTGATTCGAGAATCGTTCTCCATGGAGTCGACGGGAGAGAACATGAATATCTTTCCGGATGATGATTTATATTCACTATATTTTCGGTATATTTTTAGCCTCCTTATATTGTATCGTGTTTGTATCGTTTCCCCCGTTATATGTATGGTTATATCCAATATATTGTTGGTATATTGTTTGTCCCATTTTTGTTGCATTTTTCGTGTTTATTTTATCATTCTTTTTCCCCCGTTTTAGGTCGTTTCTTTAGTTTTTAGTACATTTCATGTTTTATTATGTTTTTTTTTCTTCATTTTGAGTCTTTAGGTGTTTTTCGTTTGTTTTTCCGGTGTTCTTTTGTGTTTTGTCGTTTTTGATGTGTAGGTTCGGAGCTTCGGGCGAATTTTTTCTTCAGGAAAAGTTGGTTTCAAAAGCATAATTAGATAGACGGGTTCGTTAGCGACGCATAGGAAAAAACGGAAGTCAATTCCGAGTTCGGACGAGCTAAAACGAGGCGAAAACACAAAATGGCGCAGTGCAGTCCAAAATCTCGCGACTCGC